TATGCCGTGCGGGGTTGTTGAAGCAGAGCCCTGGTAGCGAAGCAGCAAAAGTTGCTAGTCGCACTAATGCGCAACTTCACTTCTCAGTTCGGGATGGGCTTATATTCTATAAGCAAGAAAGATTGTATCTTCCCTCTAAGGATCTTCAGCAGTTATTTTTGCGGGAACATCATGATGTTCCGGCAGCGGGACATGGTGGACAGCGAAAGACTCTAGCTTCATTGAAAAAGGGATTTTTCTGGTCTGGTATAGAAGGCGATGTAGTGGACTATGTCCGTTCCTGCCCTATATGCCAGCAATGTAAGCGCAAAGCTGAGAAGCAGGCTGGAAAGTTGCAGTGCATTCCAGTACCGGCATGGCCATTTCAAAGCGTGACACTTGATTTCATCACTTGCTTGCCGAAGTCTAAGGTTTATGATACTTTGATGGTGGTTGTGGATCGGTTGTCAAAGATTGCACACTTCATTCCAACTGTGGGAACAGTGAATGCGAAACAAGCAGCAAAGCTCTTTTTCCATGAAGTAGTGCGAGTTCGTGGTCTTCCTGAAGAGATGATCTCAGATAGAGATTCAAGGTTTACGGGGAAGTTTTGGGGCACACTGTTCCAGTTGTTTGGTACCAAGTTGAAGTTTAGTACGGCTTATCATCCTCAAACTGATGGGCAGACCGAACGGGTGAATGCTCAAGTTGAGGATTATCTGCGGTACTATGTCGCAGCGGACCAACGCGACTAGGTTGAGCATTTGGATACAGCAGAAATATGTTATAACAACACATTTCACAGCGCTGTCGGCTGTTCTCCATGGGAGATGCTGCAAGGAAATGCTCGTGGGGTTCCTCAACAGATTGTTGTACCAAAACCAATGTCCGAGGTGTTGGTCCCAGCCGTTGAGACTTATGCGGAGCAGCTACGCCAAGGTTGGTCTAGAGCTACTGAGGCAATGGGCAAAGCTCAGGATAGGTATCGACGTGATAAGGATCAGCATCGTCGGGATGTATCCTATCAAGTGGGAGATCAGGTGTAGCTATCTTCCCGAAACTTGAACATTAAGGGTTCTCTGTCTCGGAAGCTCTTGCCGAGATATATTGGACCCTATCGGGTGTTGCGGCGCATTGGTAATGTATCCTATCAATTGGATCTTCCTGTGGAGATGTCCAGTATTCATAATGTATTTCATGCCAATCTCTTGGCTCCATACACTATGGATGATGCACATCAAGCGGAGATTCGTCCACCACCAGAAGTTGTGGATGGTGAACCTGAATATGAAGTGGAAGCTATTTTGGGTACACGCTGGCTTAAGCGTGCCAAACGTCGGGAGTATCTAGTTAAGTGGAAAGGTTACCCATCTTGTGAATCAACTTGGGAGCCTCTTAGTAATCTTACACATGCTCGTGAGCTTGTCACGACATATGAGAATCGTAATAAAGATTAGCTTTTGTAAATCTTGTAATCAATCTTGCAAATCAATAAAGTAATATATTTCTATAAATCAAAATGTCGTTTCTCTTGTTCGTTCATAATTGGGTCAGTTTTGGCAGGCTGACTTCGGCACTTCGGTGCATGGGTCCAATCCATAACCATGGGGATAACTATTATAGACTGATCACAAGTCCCCGCCTCTCTCTCGATGGCTCATTTTCGAAAAGGGGTGTGGTTGTGTAAACAACTTAATCTGCCAGTTTATAGTAGTTATCTAAATCTTCCCGACGGGGTTGATTTCTTGCTCAGGGGAAGTTGGGCCTCTGGCCTTCTCCCTATATCCCTGCGGGCAGGGATGTATCATTCCTTTGTAAGCCGAGTGGTCCTCGGAGCAGCAAGGGTGGTTAACTCTGTTAGTCATTTCCTTGTCGGTGACGGCCGGAGGGTGTCTAAGTCTTAACGTCTTTGGACATAGAGGAGAGGTAGTTCCCTAACTCATTTAAGTCGGTGTGTTTCCCACATAGTGTGCTTTCCGTTAACTTTCGGAGTTGTTTCCTTGACGGTTTGCTAGACTCGGGTACACATCGACGAGGACGTCGATCTTCCCTAAGGGGGGGAGAGTGTCGCGAATGTGACTTCGGGTATCGAAAGATACTTGTCGACCAGTCCTTACGGGCACTCTTTCCTTACTGCCATGACGGTAGGAGGTCGGTACTGCTGGTTCCCTTTATTGGCCCCTCTTGTCCAAGTGTTAGTAAACTGGACTTAGCATCTGTATTTGGCCGGATGAGCATAAGGAAGGAATTCCTAAGTGTCTATTTAGCCAAGCATACTTGGCCCGGCTTGTTAGTTCTCTTTTGCTCTGTCTTGCACTGGCTTGGCAAGAACCCTCGTGTATTGAGACTAGTCCCTCAATATCGCCGGATGATAGCTTACCGTGTCTGCCAAACACCCTCGCTATCACACCCTTTGTGTTGGTCTCATTTCAGTCCCGAATGCTATTTATGGAAGGTGTCTAGATTAGCTCATTTGGCATATCTACGGAATATAGAGATCGGTCTGAACACAATGGTGTTCATCCCATGTCCAAATTCGCAATCTAAGGACATTCCATATTTAGTAAGTTTCGGACTTGTCCCAGAGACTAACTCCTGGTACTAAGGGAGGCTTGGGGTGAAAGCCCAAAGCGTGTGTCCCTCAAGGGGGGGGGGGGCTGTGGGGGGTTCCAAATGTATAGTAGGGATAGTGGTTGGAATGCATGTCCGACCACCTGAGACATTAGTTTGGCTCCCGCTGGGCTGTGTCGCTCCTTGTTCTGCGTCCGGCTTGGGTCTAAGCCCAAGCTCCACACTGCTCTAGTCGGTGGAGTACCCTCCTTCTCGCGTTAGGCCACCGGTATGCCAAAATTGTGCCAGACTCCGTCTGACACCATTTTGCGTGCAGGTGCTGGATACGGGGAGCTGGTGCTCGTGGGATTGTACCGGACCCTCGTTTCGTAGCGCAACGGGCTTGGAGTTCGGCTCCAAATTCAGGTGTGCTACACAGTCCCAACCAAGTCCTGTCCTACCCATGGCCGCATTCACCAACACTGCCACTGGGTCAAGGCTCATAGGCCCGACCACTAAGTCCCAATGCCCTCTGGGACTTCCTCACTGTGTGACTATGTCCTTAGTCACTATGCCAGAGGTCTACTCCTCTTCCTTTCCACAGTCTAGGATTTTGGGGGAACATTTCGAAACATCATGGCCCTACACGAGCCACCTGGGTACTCTCCCGGCCTTTCGCACTTGGGTGCTCTAGCCATGGGCTTAGAGCGAGGTTCCGTTGAGCCACGCCTGGTATCCAAGTAGGTAGTGCCACCCACACTTGGACTAGGAGCATCGGCCAGTCGATCACCTGGGGGAACTAAAGCTGGCTCTTGAACACTGCACCAAGCTACCCCGCTTGTCGGTCTATATTCACTCTCGTCTTGGACTTCCCAATGGTCAGTTTATCACCCAACATTGAGTATGGCCTTCCTGGGCTAAACTAGCCTTTCCTGGCCAAATTGGCTCCACTGGGCTCCAACCCCCACACTCTCCCCACTATACTTTTGGAACCCCCTGCAGCCCCCCCTCCCCCTCCTTGGGGGACAATTGCTTTGGGCTTTCACCCAACTTGGGCCTCGGTCTTAGTCTCGGACTCGGTCTCGGTCTCGGTTCCATTTCGGACTCCATCTCGAACTCATGTAAGCTCCTGAGTTTGGACTTCCCAGGAGGTCACTTAGCCCAGTACTATTCAAACCCAAGGACACTTTAACCTCAAATATCGCAAGACCCTTAACCAATTGGAAAAAAGGGTGCACTCTTGTTCATGGGCCCTTTCCTTCTATATTTAAACCCCATGAACTGTCTCTCAAATCGTTCTCTTTGGTTGCTTACAATTCACCATGCTTCCCTACAAGTTCACGCCCTGTCGTTTTCTTAACACCCTACCCTTCGGGTCGAGCCCAGTCATTCTCTTTGGTTGCTTACAATCCACCATACTTCCCTGCAAGTTTACGCCCTGTCGTTCTCTTAACACCCTACCCCTCGGGTCGAGCCCAGTGGGAGCAAGCTGGACCAACCAGATGTCAATCAATATGTGGTGTGATTCCCCTTCTCTTAACACCCTACCCCTCGGGTCGAGCCCAGCGGGAGCAAGTTGGATCAACCAAATGTCAATCAATATGTGGTGTGATTCCCCTAACCAACCAACAAAGTCGGACCCGAGACCCCTCTAATACCAAATGTAAACGCTTGAGTTTGGACTTCCCAAGAGGTCACCCAGCCCAGTACTATTCAAACCCAAAAACGCTTAACTCCAACTATCCCAAGACCCTTAACCGATTGGAAAAAGGGGTGCACTCTTGTTCATGGGCCCTTTCCCTCTATATTTGAACCCCATGGACCGTCTCTCAAGTCGTTTTCTTTGGTTGCTTACAACTCCATCTCGGACTCCATCTCGGGTTCATCTTGGACTCCATCTCGGGTCTATCTCGGACTCCATCTCGGGTCTATCTCGGACTCCATCTTGGGTCCATCTCAGACTCCATCTCGGGTCCATCTTGGACTCCATCTCGGACTCTTCCACATGTCATGTGTTAGTCCTTTTTGGGTCCTTTTTTGGAGCCTTGCTTATTGGTTGCCTCGTGCTCGCTCCTCGAGTACTTTGTTGGGAGTTCCACTCTCGCTCTTGACCTTCTAAGTCGGAGCTTTTAATCCAAACGTGTTACACTTGTTTGGCTTTCGCTTCGGCCACTACCACGTGGCACCCTTTCTGTCTCCACTTTGGGGCTTAGGGATTTTGTGTCTTACAGTAATGTACTTACCCTTATTTTTTATGGGAAAATTATTAGTATTTTGGATTCACACGAAAACAAAAGGGAGGATTCTTAAGTAATTTTCAAAAACCCCGACCAAATCTAAAGTGTTGGGGGGGTCATTTTATTTTAAGGGAAGTTGTTAAAAATTATTCCAGAAATATTCGAGAAGATTCTTAAATTAGGGTTTGGCATGCCTGAAGTTCTGATCTTGTGGCACGGCCCGAGAATTAAAACATGGCAGCAGCCGCGGAGATTTATGAGGAGGTGGAGGAAGCAGGTAATCCGATTTTAGGGTTGGAAGAGGAAACAGAGCTCTGGGAAATGGGGCCGATCGAGCTGGATCTGGGCCTGCTCGTGCTCTATCTTCACCAACAGGAGGAGGAAGAGGTGCCCATGGAGGGAGAGGTGGCCATGGAGTGGGAGGAGGGCGCGGGGTGGCCGGGGTTGGCCGCGGATCTCTGAATCTGGCCCCGGGAGGATTAGGCCATGGTTCTGAGGCCGCTCGAGGGGGAGGAGGAGGCCATGGTTCTACTCTAGGAGGAGGACGCCGCGGTTCTTCTCCGGGAGCAGGAGGCCATGGATCATCGCCAGGAGGAGGCCAAGCCTCGGTGGGAGGAGCCGAAGCCACAGCGGGAGGAGTCCAAGCCGCGCCCGGAGGAGCCCCAGCCACGTCCGGAGGAGTCGATCCAATTCGCAACATCAACAGGTACTTGATGTCTGGTGCTGGAACCGACTGGCTCCCTCCGGAGTGCGATATCTCCATCAGGCCCGGTTGGTTTTGGCACAGGAACGAGGCTCCAAAATCCCTGGAGCAGCTGCTCGACGTTTTCTACAAATCATCCGCCAGGAACTGCTTGCTCCTGCTCAACGTCCCTCCAAACTCGTCGGGACTGATTGACGAATCCGACTTCCAGACGCTGGAGCGGTTTAGCTCCGCCATAGATTCCATCTTCAGTGTCAACTTAGCAGCGAATCCCTTGTCCGTGACAGCAAGCCGCGTTCGCAGCTCTTCGTTCGGGCCGAAGCAAATCCTTGACGAGTGTATGGAAACTTTCTGGGCTCCAATGCAAGGGGAGTCGACCGGCTGGATCGAGCTTGATCTTGGCAAGGTCTCAAAGTTCAACGCACTGGAGATCCGAGAGCCAGTAAACATGGGACAAGGGGTCATGGAATATCACGTCGAGGCATGGGACAGCGAGCTGGGCTGGTACCTGGTGAGCAACGGTAGCACCATTGGTTACAGGAAAGTGGATCGACTGGAAGAGGATCAAGAATGCGCTGCTCGGCTCGTTCCGACTGCTGATTGACGCGTCGCGGGGAGATCCATTGATCTGCTTCTTTGGTTTGTACTTCGATATGTACAACCTCAGGCACTTGTCTTCTATTTAGAAGAGAAACTACAAGAGGATATGTATATTTCTTTTCAGGTATGAGAAACATAGCTTTGGGTTGGAAATCCCTGGCCTGATCAATAACAGTCTCTTTGCATCACTCCTAACAGATTGGAGCCTAGAGAACAACCAAAAAAAATCAAGAGCTAGCCCTCTACCCTTTGAGCTCGTGGAAAGTACCCTTGCATGGAGGTGGCAGCTGGTTAAACTTGAGAAGTTAGCTTGTCTGGAGGACCTCCTGTTGCTCCTGCTTCCTCACCACAAAATCACACCTGCAAACACATGTCTAAACATTGAACTAGTACTTCTTAGATTTAAAAGCTTTGAAAATACATTAGAACATCTTTTTGCCATGTAGTCAATGGGATGACCATTATTAAAATGTTTTTAATTTATAAACACAAAATTATTCTAAATAAATATCAACAATTAAATTATAGAATATTCAAGAATACCCAGGTATATCCTATGTCGGTTTGCTTAATCAAACCAAAAATATAGTGCCTAAATTAAAGAAATACTCAAAGGTGTAAATGACTATAACTTAACTGAAGCCATAAAAGATAGGTATTGTGGAAAAATAAAGAATATGTGTGTGCAAATACTAAACAGGTAATACACCTTGTGGGTGTTCTTTTGCAAATAGCCTGCAGAAAAAAAGCTATTAAAATAAATATTTGATTTGTAAAGAATACTTGATGAATTAAAAATATGAGCTTATATAACACTTTTTCTCCATCTATCATGTCATAAAGGACAAAGTAGCAACCTATTTAAATTATAACTCAATGTAGATTAAAATCACTAAAGGATGATCCTAATAATTCAAAACAACTATTATACTCGTCTCAAAAGGCTAGCAATATTCTAATCTGAATACCAATACTGGATTTGGAATGATGCTAGACTGGAAGATTAAAGGGAATTGAAGTATATCTCTAGTTGAGTCTAGTATTCCTAAGAGTTTAAGAATGATTAAGATTGTACTCCAATATGTTAGTTTTGAAAAATTTCATATACTTATATTCCATGATATTGGAAGAGAAGGGAATAGATTGGTCACGAAACATTGAACAAGTGCTAGTTGCCATTGAAGAAGCAATAGTGCTCTATACAACAACATTATATATAAAACTCCACCCTGCAGAATAGAAAGAAAGTTTTCAAAGGGAATGGATGAGTAGGAAATGGCACTTGTGATATTTCTTATTTCCAATGGGGAGAATTGTTTGGGATGTTGAGCATCCCTGATTGCTATGCTAGATAATATGTTTGATAACATATGTCAAACTTCTCATCATCAAATTACTTAACTATCCTTCATTATGCATATATTAATTCCTAAAGCTCTCCAAGGATTTGGTTCTTGACAGATTATGGCATTGACTTTGCGGAAGATTTGATAAATTTCCTTGTAAAATCGCCTTGCATACATGCTTTGCAAAGAACAATACAGTCAACATAGATTAAGCCCATCATAAAAGTGGGCCAATTGTCTTTAAACTTAATTCTCTGTATCAACATCCAACGAAGCCTTCGTAAATGCTAGCCATCAACGAATGGGCTGAGGCCCAGCTCCAGCAACATGCTGTGCAATGCTTCGCAAGTGGAGAGGATAACATATGGAACACAGAGAGAACATATGAAGCATGTCGGGAGGCAATGAATGTTAAGTGCAGTCAGCAATGCAAGATCCAATGCTGCTGTTGTGAATTTCAGCAGCAGCACTGCACTCCTCCTGCTCCACATCAGTGCCATGCTAGGCGTGGCAATCCAGATTCTCAAAACCATGCCGGTGAGAGTGAGCCGTGGAAGTCTCTCATGGGCTCTTGTTGAAAGTGGGAAGTAGTGGTGTGGAAAGCTTGCGTTTGAGGTGCAGGTGGAGATGGGCTCATTGCAGTAAGGTGATAGCTCGTTCCCATTGTCTTCCTTTTGTATCCTATCTCCCTCCAGATGCATGGGACACCACGGACTCATACGCGAGAGGCGGAGGACTATGCTCCTCATGAAGACTCTCCTATGCTCAATCCTCTGTGCGTCCCGCTCTCCATCCATGGGGGATGGGGCGGCTCATGGAATGGCTGGATATCAAAGATCGATGTTTGGGTCAACACATCAAGTCTGAGCTGCTCTGAAGATGTTCTCCAGCATCACATAAGGCAATGCATCACTCACAAGGCTGGACTGGCACGTAAATTCCGCAGCATGCATCCCTCGATTCATCTCCCCGTGGTTTTTACACGCGGTAAGAAATGTTGCCCATGCAACTCCATCAGCTGGCAAAGCATATTCTCCAGGACATCCTCGGCCTCTTCCAATTGCCCTAGCCGTCCTAGAGCATCAACAATGCAGGTGTAGTGGTCTTGCGAAGGGTCCAATCCATTGTCAAAGCTCATTGCCGTGAAGTAGCTTACTGCTTCCTTGACGAGCCCCAGATGGCTACATGCCGTCAAAACGAGGGCAAACGCTGCCCTGTCGGGATCAAAGCTGTGAAGAAACATCGCCCAAAATAGCTGGATCGCAGAATACGTATGGCTGGTCTGGGCATATGCTGCTAGCATCGTGTTCCAGGAGACTAAATTCCAAGTTGGTATTCTATCAAATGTCTTCTTTGCCTCACAAATATTTGCATCTAAAGCGTATGCCATGAGAATTGTGTTCCATGAATAGGAATCCCAGCAGCAACACAAAGAAAACCCTCGTATAGCGTCTTTGAAATGATCTCTCTGGGCATAAACAGCGATTATCAAGTTCCATGAAACAAGATCTCTGTGTGGCTTTGCTTCAAACAATTGTTTTCCTTGATCAGCATCGCCTTTTTGTGTGTATGACTTGATCATAATTGTCCACAAAAGTATGCTGTGCAGAGGCATCCTATCAAACAAACTCTTAGCTTGAATCAAATCCCCATTTTGGGCATAGTAGTAGTGCATTGCGTTCTCCAAGTAGACCACAACCAAGTCTAAGGCAGTGACACTCTTCCGAAGAGCCAACAACCGCACATATTTCGTCAAACGATCCATTATGACCTATACTTGTTTTTTTTGCCTCTATATTCGTGGCAAACAAGTGATGAAGTCCATAGAGATACTATACCAATAGCTCTGAGGAATAGGTAAAGGTTGCAAAAGTCCCCCAGCTTCTCCCGTCGCACTTTTACCCGCTGACAGAAGTCACATGACTTATAGTACTCAAGGATATCGGCCTTTATGTTCCTCCAATAGAAACTGTGCTTAATCAACTCATATGTCTTCTCCTCCCCAAAATGACCAGCCTCTGGACGATCATAATAGTGGAATAAAACTTGAGTAATTAACGCATTCACTTGTGGCAAATATATATGGCCATTGTAGTAAAGAATCCCATCCACTAATGAGAAAGGTGCTTCCATTTGAGCTTGCAACGAGACCATCTCAACATCCTGAGCTTGAGCACGCTCAACCAACTACCCAAACTCGCTAACCACCTTACTCAAATAATGACCAAACTGTGTTTGTAACGCCATCACATGCAAACATGAGATAAAGCATTCACCACCACATTCAATTTTCCCGAATGATGCTCAATAAAAAATTCCCTAAATTCCATATGTTTGACTATCCAACAAGCTTGTCTAGTATTCAACTCCTTCTGTGTGAAAAGATATACAAAGGGTTTGTAATCCGTCAACACCGTGAATACTACACCATAAAAATAGTGTTGCCACGTCCGTAAAGCATGAACAATGGAGAGTAACTCTTGTTCATATATGGAATAGTGTTGTTCCGTGAGATTCGAAGTTCGACTCTCATATGCAATAGGCTGCCCTTTTTGCATGAGAACTCCTCCCAATGCATAACCACTCGCATCACATATCACCTCATAAAGTTTTGATGGATTAGCAATGTGAAACATTGGAGCGTTGCTTAACAACCATTTCAATGCCACAAAACTATCCTCATGTGGTTTCTTCCACTTGAATAGCACGTTCTTGTGCAACAATTGTGCCAAAGGAATAGCCACCTCTGCAAACTTATGTTGAAAATGTCAGCAATAACTAGCCATACTAAGGAAATTAAGTAACTTAGCCACTGAAGTTGGTGTAAGTTAGTTCTCCACCACAGCCACCTTCTTTGGATCCGTCTTGACACCCTTGGATGTTATAATATGGCCTAGACATTCCATCTTTGACTTTGCAAATTTACATTTGCTCTTTTTCATATAAAGTTTGTTGTTATGGAGTAACAAAAGAACCTTACTTATGCTCCTCTATAATTTTGCTGAAATGGATGCTGGTAAATTGGCCACATCCCTAGCTCCAACGTAATCCCTTGCTCCACACCTCGTAATCAAGGCAATCCATGAGGAATTTTAGAGGGAAAAACATCAGAGAACTCTTTGAGTATAATTTGCACTACTACCTCTCCTCCACACGTGGCTTGGTCCCCCAAGTCATGAACAAACAATAAGTAACTCCGAAGTGTTTTTCCATTACGAAAAGCCCACTTAAAAGATGTAGTGGAGAGCATAACAACTGGAGGTTAAACTCCCTCTCCAAACCACACATTGTTAATGCCACCATACTCCACACTTAATACTCCATATCTCTGGATCCACCTTCACCAACTATGACATCCCAAAAATGAGATCCACATGATGAAGATCTATGAGATAAAAAGTCTCCACAAGTGTGGTTTTGCCAACTAACACTTCTAGCCCTTTCACACAAGTATTGAAATGCCGAGTAAAGGTAACTACACCTTCTACCATATATGGAAGAACTTCTCGTGTCACTAAGCCATTCTCCTCAACAAATTTTGTGGAAACAAAGTTGTTATCACTTCCACTGTCCAATAAAATCCACAATGGACTGCCACGAAACACACCCTCTAGCAAGTTGATGCACAAGTGTCCTTGACCTTCATTTTGTTCCACATACAGTTAAGTTGATGAGCAACAATTGAAAGCCTCCTCCTCCAACTGAAATGGTCATCCTCGTCATCCTTGTGCTGCAAAGTTTGCAACTTCTTAGTATCTGACTTACCATTAGTAGAAGATTGGCCATTCTTGTTGCCATGTTATTTGCTCTTCACCATGGACAATTAGCCTTGTAGTGTCCCAGCTTGTGGCAATGATGACAACATTGTTTATAATTCTTTATAAAGAATTTCTGCTTCATTGACCCCTGTGTACCCAAAGTAGCCACCATAGACTTTAGCTTGTGACGTTTATTCCCATCCTTGTGTCCACAATAATCATCATGGCAATTCTCAACAGAAAGAATCCTCAAACACTTGTGAGACTTATACTTGTCATTGTCAAGTCGATGAGCAGCATCAAAGAGTTCCTCCAAACTCTTTGTACATTGAGAATGACAAGTGTTGCTGCATGTTCTCACTATGACGGCCATCAATGAAGTAGGACTTGTTCTGATTTGGATCCTTCATTGAAACACGGCTAATCAAGTGAGTTAGCTTCTCAATATAGTCCCCAAACTTCATTTTCCCTTGCTGAAAATGTCAAAGTTCGGTGTGAGCATTTTTCACATCATAGTGAGGAGCAAAACGTAAATGGAAATAACCTCAAACTCATCCATTGTAGACACTAATGGTTTTTTATCCACAGCATAAGACTCCTCAAGCTAATTCCACCACTGAAGACTTGCATCACACAAAACCATTGAAATAGCCATTAAAACCTCTGCATCTGGAATTCCTTTAGTAACCAACATAGTTGCCGGAAAACGTATGAAACTAAAAAAACGTAACGTTTTAAACACGTTAAAAAACGCCGTTTTAAACTCCCAACGCGTTTGCACTATTTGCAAAAAGAGACAAGAGTTTCTTTAGGGTTTCTTTAGGGTTTCTTCAGGGTCATGTCAGGAATTGGAGGACGCCGCGAATGCTGGAGCTGGAAGCATGTGATACAAGCAGAGCGGCACTAGACATGTAAGTATTGTCATGAGATTCACACTGGGGGAGCGGAGCGAGTGCGAGCACATCTCGCTGGAGTTCGGGCAAGAGGTGTGAAAACGTGCAAGGCAATGAGGGAGATCCCTTATGAAGTTCTTAAAAAGGCTCGCAGCAGTTTTTCTGATTTCGAGCTAGCAGACCCAGTAGATGCTGATGATGGGCATCTGCTGCAGCAAGCCGCACAGGGTTCAGGGGGGCCATCAGAATCTATGGTGGCAAGCACGGAGAACTGGTCCAGTGCTGGGACAAGCAGAGCAGCGAAACGTAGATCCTCGGATGGAAATTTGGTGACATTTTTTGATACTGCTTCGGCTGAGGCACTGGATGATGCTGTTGCAGAGTTCTTCTTTGCCGAGAACATCTCCTTCAACACAATCCGAAGAGACAACTTGAAGAAAATGCTGAAAGTTGCCGCAAAAGTGGGGCATCCAGTGATTGACAACCTCATGGGATATGAGAAGTTGCGGACAACTGAGCTACAACGAATATACAACAACGTTCAAAAGCGGCTTGAAGATGTGTGGCTAAGTTGGAGGACATATGGTTGTACCATTGTCACGGATGGCTGGTCTGATATCAAGAAGAGGTCTCTTATCAACTTCATGGTCAGTTCTGTGAGAGGCTCAATTTTCCTGAAGGCTGTGGACAGCAAGAATGCGAAGAAAACCGGAGCATGGTTGTTTGAGCAGCTGAAACAAGTGAGTGCCGAGGTTGGTGCGGAAAACGTTGTGCAGGTGGTGACAGACAATGCAAGCAACTGCGTGGTCATGGGGGAGCTTTTGCAGCAGGAGTTTCCACAGATTGTACACGTTCGCTGCGTTTGCCATGTTATGGACTTGCTGTTCGAAGATATTGGAGCTCTGTCTTGGGTGCAGCCTTTCGTCGATGGCTGTGCAAAGATAGTTACCTTCATCACCTCAAAGCCACGGGTTCTAGCTCTTTATAGAACTTTCTGCAAACGGGACCTGATAAAGCCTGTGACCACGAGGTTTGCTTATATTTTTCTTGTGATGTCTCAGCTTCTGGAGACCACTAATCTCTCCGGGCTTCGAAGAATGGTGGTGAGCCAAGAATGGGAGTGACTTGACTGGTCTAAGAAGCTGGAGGGCCTGGAGCTGCGATCTCGTGTTCTCAATGACTTGTTCTGGGAGCGGTGCGAGAATTTGTTAATTTTGCTCGGACCTTTACTTCGAGTTCTTCGACTCGCTGATCGGGAGGGGGCGACTTCAGGCCTCATCTTTGAAGCTGTTGATCGGCTGATTGAGAAGATGGACGAGGGAGCTTGAAATGGAATTTATGCACATGAGGAAGTGGGACAAATCAAGGATTTCCTACTTGAATCACACGGTCTGAAGGAGGCAAGGTGGTATCAAATGCACAACGTCATTCATGGAGCTGCTTTTGCTCTTCATCCTCTGTTTCTGGGGGATAACCCAGAGAATGACAAGCTGGACAATGAGGCACGCGGGAACTGGTTGGAGTACATGCATGTTTATAGCGGAGGTGATCTGGACTTGCAGCTGAGATTGCAGGCACAGTTTGAGAGGTTTCGGCAACAGCTTGGACAGCAAATGAGGTTACCTGTTGCCAAGGATCGAGAGACCAGAAAGTTTCCAGTAACCTGGTGGAGTTCTTTTGGTTTAGAGATGCCTGATCTACGTCACATGGCTCTCCGGATTTTAAGCCAGGTTGTTTGCACTTCTCCATGCGAGAGGAATTGGAGCTCATGGAGCTTGATACAAACAAAGCACAGGTCCCACTTGCTTCCCAAAAATGCTGAGAAGCTGGTTTACATTCATACAAACTTGCGGGTTGTTCAGAAGCTGGAGAGTGAAGGTTTGAGGATGCTGGAGATTGATATAGACAAGCTGGAGTTGGAGCCTCATTGGAAGAGGATTTTGGATCTGCAAGAAGCTTTTGAGGAACCAAATCAGGCTACTAACGAGTTTAGCATCGATGAAAAAATGGAAGATGATTCAGAATCGGAAGACGACTAAAACGGCTTCTTCTTTCATTTGTTTTATCGGTTGGGTTTTATAAACTTAATATCAGATTAAAGTGTATTTAGTAAATATTAGTGTTTTCTTAATCATTTTAGGCTTTAACATGTAAACGTTTGATTGTCCTTAAAAAAACATTTTAAACGGCGTTTAAACGTGGACGCGTTTGAACGTTTGCACGTCTAGCTGCAACTATGGTAACCAAAAACTTCTTCACATTAGCTAGCCAAGCTAAACACTCATCCACACCACCATCACTGGAAAAGGTTAGAATCTTGAGTCGATCCAACCTTTTCTTCATCAGTGAATGGAAGTGTATGAATTTGCAAGAGTGACTGGCAATTCCCAGTTTATTTTACTTCCTTTTCAGCCATACAAGCTTATTTATGCGTCGATGCTTGCTGAAGCTGGAAAGATAAACGAAGCTTTCAGGTTGGTAGTGATTTTTAACTGTATGCTTCATTAACACAAGGTTTCTCTTCGAAGGTATTGCCAAGCAGTGTTGAAAACGTTGAAAACAGCGGGCCATGTAGCTGATGTGTGCAAAGAAGCAGCTGTAGCCTTGGAAGAGCATCTTTGTATCCACTCTCAGGTTTGTAAGCGGACACTCGGCTTTTATACTCACTTTCCTGTTATCCAGGGAGGCTCTGACGTCAATTGTGCAACGGTTTTTTGGCAATATTGGTCTACACAAGATGATAGGCCCGTTGCCCCCGAAAGCTTCTGATAATGCTGATATTAATGACTGTCCCACAACAGCTTCTAGCAGAAGCAGTGTATCACTTGCTTCATCAGAATCAATGGAACCCATAAGTGATAATACGAGAAGATACAACATCCCAGCGAGAAGCATTTCTGAGACTGACTTTAGGCCTGCACAGGTAACTTGACTTGCTCTTGTGTATCTTTACTTCTTTCGTGCAAAGAGTGATGGGCTTCATAAAAACACCTTCGAAGGAGGTTTGTAGAAGCTTTGGAAAGAGCGCTAGCTGATTGATGTTCGGGAATGTGATGCAGGCAAAGCTTGGCGACAGCAAAAGTTTAGATACGACGCTGAAGCGCTGGGTTGAAGAAGGAGCCGAGGCACAAGCACCAGACCTTCCGTTGGCTCCTCCTCCCACAGCAAACAAGCTCGTCTCGCGCGTGGAGGAGAACGGCACTCCTATTTCCATGTCTCCCGAGAGACCAGAGCCAACTCCAGAGCCAACCGGTTGTGAGTGGAATCCCACCAATGCCTCCAAGCAGTAACCAGTACGCAGCTCACGCACGTCAAAACGTTAGATCAAGGTACCGTTTTGGTCATTCCCAGCACTCCAATCTCACGAGGTTTTTGCAGATATGTCGATACATTCAACAAAGGTAGCGTAACACCATCCAAGACATCATCGGACTCTCCTCCACTGTTTGGCGTGGTGCCAAAGGCAAGCGCAAAGCCTTTGGTTCCAGCGAGATTTTTCGTGCCTGCGGCCGCTGCTGCCGCTGCTCCAGATATCAACAGCAACCATTCGGTGGATCCTTACTCGGCACCAGCCTTTGTCTCCGACACGGCGTTCTCAAACGGGAATGGAGCATTCGCTCAGCCGGTTGTACAGGATATGAGAAACGATCCGGGGCCAATGCCTGATCATCTCTCGAGCAGCTCTTCGCCAGCAATGTTTTATTCGAATCACTATCCAGCAGCACCGTCGACCGTCTCGTTGCCGCCACCTCCAGCTCTGGAAGTCACTCCACCAGTGATGGTCGAGCAGCAGCAGCAAAACCAACACCAGGAAAGTTCGATTCATCAGCACCACCATCAACAGTCCAGCACAGTGGGATTCGAAGCTGCCAGTTCCTCTGAAGTGTTTGGAGACGACTTGCAAGAGGTGGAATTGTAAATCACACTCCACAAGTAGTGTTGCTGGGTGGATTTTGGTAGAGCAGTGTAGCGAAGTAGTAGTCGTGGAAGGAGCCACGAGCGAAGCGAGGAAGCTCCTTAAAGTTGCTAGAGAAAGGAAACTCTTTACAGTGTAAAACAAAGGCCTTGTGATGAATATACCTCGAATAATCTCCCGGATTTAAAATATGGCGCGCGTAGCTCACAAGGCATCGTCTTGGTGGGATGAAACGCTTGTTGTCTACGGGCGGTGTGGGCATTTGGAGGAATCGAGAAGGATCTTTGATGCATTGCCGGCCAAGAACATCGCGTCGTGGACGTCGCTCGCGACCGCGTATGCCGAGAGTGGGCATCCGGGGGAGGCCAAGGCAGCGTTCGATCGAATGGCGGTATGGGACGTAGTTTCCTCCACTGCGATGGTCAGGGCGCTGGGCGATTGCGGGCGGATTGGATCGAGCAAGGCGGTGTTTGATGCGATGCCCGAGAGGAACTGCAAGACGTGGGCGACGCTGCTGCGGGGATTTGCCCGCGGCGGAGAGATTGGGCGAGCGAGAGAAGTGCTGGATCGGATGCCCGAGACGAATGTGGTAGCGTGGACGATCCTCGTGCAGGGTTTCGCGCAGCGCGGGCGAGTGGGCGGTGCGAAGGCCGCGTTTGATTCCATGCCCGAGAAGAACAGCATCACTCGCGCGGTGATGCTCGTCATGTTTGCGGAGAATGGATTCGTGGAGGAGGCGGAGGATGTCTTCCAGGAAATTGTCCACCGAAACGCGATCCTCTGGGGGGCGATGCACTGCTGCTATGCCCAAAATGGGGATATGATTCAAGCCAAGAGTTTGTTTGATAGGATGCCTCAGCACAGCGTACTTTCGTGGACGATTATGATCAAGTCATACGCACAAAACGGTGATGCTGATCAAGGAAAACACTTGTTTGAAGAAAAGCCACACAGAGATCTTGTTTCATGGAACGCGATAATCGCTGTTTATGCCCAGAGAGGTCGTTTCCGGGCGTTTTCTTTGGTTTGCTGTTGGGATTCCTATTCATGGAACACAATTCTAGTGGTATATGCTCTAGATGCAAATATTCGTGATGCTAAGAAAGCGTTCGATGAGATGCCAGCTTGGAACTTTCTCTCCTGGAACACGATTCTTGCAGCATATGCCCAGATCGGGCAGCGATCCAGCTCTTCTGGGCGATGTTTCTTCATGGCTTTGGCCCCGACAAGGCAGCGTTTGCCATCATTTTGATGGCGTGTAGCTATCTGGGGCTCGTCAAGGAAGCAGTAAGCTACTTCACGGCAATGTGCTCTGACAATGGACTACACCTGCATTGTTGATGCTCTCGGACGACTAGGGCGATTGAAAGAGGCCGAGGATATCCTGGAGAATATGCCTTTGCCAGCAGATGGAGTTGCATGGGCAACGTTTCTTACCGCGTGCAAAAACCACAGGGAGATGAATCGAGGGATGCATGCTGCGGAATTTACGTGCCAGTCCAGCCTTGTGAGTGATGCATTGCCTTATGTGATGCTGGAGAACATCTTCAGAGCAGTTCAGACTTGATTCTTCACTGTTTTGATGTGTTGACCCAAACATCGGCCATTCCGTGAGCCGCCCCATCCCCCATGGATGGAGAGCGGGACGCACAGAGATTGGGCATAGGAGAGTCTTCAGAAATCTATCTGGAGTGTTAAGTGCAGTGGGTTTGCTATAGCCAGCAACGCAAGATCCAATGCTGCTGTTGTGAATTTGAGCAGCAGCACTGCGCTCCTCCTGCTCCACATGAGTGCCATGCTAGGCATGGCAATCCAGATTCTCAAGACCACGCCGGTGAGAGTCTATCATGAGCTCCTGTTGAAAGTGGGAAGTAGTGGTGTGAAGTGCTTGCGTTTGAGGCGCAGGTGGAGATGGGCTCATTGATACCTCGTTCCCATTGCCTTCCTTGTATCCTATCTCCCTCATTGCCTCCCGACATGCTTCATATGTTCTCCTCTCTGAGTTCCATATGTTATCCTCTCCACTGGGCCTCAGCCCATTCTTGATATTTACGAAGGCTCCATTGGATGTTGATACAGAGAATTAAATTTAAAGACAATTGGCCCACTTTTATGATGGCCTTAATCTATGTTGAATGGATTGCTCTTTGCAAAGCATGTATGCAAGGCGATTTTACAAGGAAATTTATCAAATCTTCTGCAAAGTCAATGCCATACCTGTCAAGAACCAAATCCTTGGAGAGCTTTAGGAATTATTATAGGGATATATAGGGATGCATAATGAAGGATAGTTAAGTAATTTGATGATGAGAAGTTTGACATGGCGCAAGCAGAGTGCGCCTCTCAAGAAATCTATGTTCTAGCTCCCATTTGGAAATAAGAAAGATTACAAGTGCCATTTCCTACCCTTCGAAAACTTTCTTTGTATTCTGCAGGGTGGAGTTTTACATATAATGTTGTTGTCACAAATAATTATAAAGCAAGTATAAGGGAATATTGCTTCTTCAATGACAACTAGCACTTTGTAAAATGTTTTGTGACCAACTATTCCCTTCTCTTCCAATATCATGGAATATAAGTATATGAAAATTTTCAAAACTATCATGTTGGAGTACAATCTTAATCATTCTTAAACTCTTAGGAATACTAGACTCAACTCTTCAGTTCCCTTTAATCTTTCAGTCTAGCATCATTCCAAATACAGGATTGGTATTGCCTTTTGAGACAAGGATAATTAGTTGTTATTTCAATCTACATTGAGTTATAATTTAAATAGATTGCTACTTTGTCCTCTATGACATGCTAGATGGAGAAAAAGTGTTATAGAAGATCATAGTTTTTATGCATTCCTCAAGTATTCTTTACAATTCAAATATTTATTTTAATAGATTTTTTTTCTGCAGGCTATTTGCAAATGAACACAATTGCATAAATAGAAGATGATGGTCACATTAGATTATGGTTTCCAGACATGCAAATGATTCTTTCACAAGGTGTATGACCTATTTGCAAATATATCATATTTTTATATTCTTTATTTTTCCACAATACCTATCTTTTATAGCTTCAGTTTTGAGTATTTCTTTAATGTAGGCACTATACTTTTGGTTTGCTTAATAGACACTACATATGTGACTCACAGTCAAATTGTGATGGCCACATCAGCAATTTGAAGTAACATTGCCTTAGTACATATCACCGTCACCATCATTTTTTTAATAGTGGCATTGTTACAGTGAAATCAATTTAAATGTTTTTCAAAACTAGCCCAGTTGGTTGACTGGAGTTGTATTTGAGTAAAGATGTTTAAGATAAATTTGATTCCAAGGTAACTAATCTGGCCATAAAACTTGACATTCTAGTGGTGTGTAAATAGAATTTGCAAGCAGCTCAAGATAGAGTAGAGAAGTTTGCTGTAAGCTCCTGAATTTGAACTTCCCGAGAGGTCAGCCAATCCAGTATTATTCAAACCCAAGGACACTTAACCCCAAATATCCCAAGACTCTTAACCGATTGGAAAAAAAGGGTGTGTTCTTGTTCATGGGCCCCTTCTCTCTATATTTGAACCCTATGGATCGTTTCTTGAGTCGTTCCCTTTGATTGTTTACATTTGCTAATGGGCATCAGCAATCTGGGTAAGATGGGTGATCTCATCATTGTGCGAGTGATCTTTCCGTGAAGTGAGCAATGGAACACCTTGGTGCTTTTATGGAATGGGAAGAGTGACAAAATTTCTTATTAATATGTTGGTCCATATGAAATGCTAGAGTGCATTGGTAAGGTGGTTTATCATATGCACTGCTAGTTGGGGTGAAAATTTATCTGGTATTTTATATCAACCAACTAAAAGATGTACTATCTTGGAATGAAAGGCCCAATGCTTTCTCGATGTATACAGCTATGGAAGATAAATCAAGAGTTTGAGTAAGGTTTCCCAAAAAGGGTGATCACCAGTATAATTAGTCCTTGGGACAAGGACTTTGTTGGGGGGGAAGAATTGTTAGATACTAGTTTTGACCATGTGGTCAACATGGGCCAAAGAGAAGCTTAAGGGTATATTAAGATATATTAGGGTAAGGAACTTACTCTAACTTAAAGCTCACAGTGGAGCAACAATTTAGTGGAGCTTTTGAGATACTTCGGGGGTGGTTAGATGGGTTGAGCAAACTAGGTGGAGTCTATCCCACAAGTAATTCCCAAGTAAAAACTAAAGTCTCCACCAATCTTTAAGGGAGTGAATGGTTATAAGCTAGTGAAGGATTAATTATATAATATAGAAAATTACATTTGAGCATTGTAGTAAAACTTTAAAAGGTACTATATGCAAAACCATATTTAACAGCCTTAGTAAGAACCGCAAAGGCCAATGAAGGTCCAATGGCTATTTGAAAGTGATGAAAGTAAAAATTAGAGCAACCTATATACCCCCAAATACTACTTTACATTTAAGGGATGAGTTGAGTCGGTTGAAGTGGATTGGTCCAATTTAGGAGTATGTGAATGTGTTTCTAGCCAAAAGAATCCTTGTTGTGGATATAAATGATATAGATGTGATCCACACCTTTATCTCAAGATTGCAGACTTAAGCTACTTGGAAAACTAAAGACTATAGAGTTCTTTCAAGGTAGCTAAAGCATCGATAAGGTACTTTGATAAATAAAAGTTGAAGTAGGAACATAGAAAATTGATATGGATTTCACTACCTCCATCTTGAATCATTCTCCTCATGTATTTGCTAATATCACCATCATACCTTATCCATACAAAGTTACCATAAATCAATTGAATTAATCCATTTTAAAGATTATATTAAATCTTACTCTAAAGTAGGGCAAAATAAGGTTAAAGACTCTTGTTTGAATTTGGTGTCCACGAAAGGATAATTTATTAAAAGAACTAAGGTAGTATTTAGTGCTTACTCTTAATAAAGAATGATAAAAAGATGGGAATGAAAGAAATGCATTTAATTATTCAACAAGTGTTAGATTAATTTCAAGATACTATGTTAAAGAAATTAGTAATAGGACTACCCCCTACCCAACTAATAGAATAGAAAATTGAGTTGGTCAAAAGTGCTAAAGCAATGGTTCATCTCCATTATTAGTTAAAAAAAAAAGAGCTCAAAGAACTCAAATGCCAACATAAAGAGTTGGTTGATAAAGGGTATATTATAAGGATCTAGTGTTATTTGTAAAAGAAAAAAAAACATCTATATGAATGTGTATAGATTATATTAGTTATTAACAAATATATAAAGAAGAATAAATACCTTTTACGAAGAATTGAAGACCTCTTTGATAGGTTAGAAAATGCAAGATACTTCTCAATAATTGATTGTAAGGAACCAACTCCCCGAAGTGTCATAGGCTAAAAGATCCCCAAAAAGTATGACTAAAATGATAAAGAGTTCATTAAATGAGACCAAGTTTGAAATCGAGTCCAAGATTGACTCTGAGACCGAGTTCAAGACTGAGTCCGAGACCGAATTCAAGACCAAACTGGAGACTAAGTTTGAGATTGAGTCTGAGATCCGAGATCAAGTTTGAGACAAAGTCCGAGGTCGGGTTCAAGATCAAGTTCGAGACCAAGTCTGAGGTCAAGCTTGAGATTGAGTCCAAATACTAATACAAGTCGTGGGGTGAAAGCCCAAAGCATGTGTCTCTCGGGGGGGGGGGGCTGCAAGGGGTTCCGGGAAAGTGAGGTCTAGGAACCAATCTTGAAGGAACTCTCAAGTGGTGCTTCCAAACTAATTTGAGGTTGAGGCTTGGGTTTAGGGGCCTTGGGTAGGAGCGAGCATGGGATCAGGTGGTGTTAGAGGGGCCACCCAAGGAAGTGCTCAAGAGCAACTCCCACTCCCGGAAGGGAAATTAATTACAGTGCTCCCAACTCATATAAAGTGGTGTCCTACTTGAGTACCTTATAACTCATTGATCCTTGCCCTTCCTAAAGGATTGGGCCTTTCCTTCGGGATGAAAGTGGGGGAGTAGGGGTACCTATACTGGGCTGTTAGGCCACGGTGTTTCCCTCCAGTGTCCCGAAAAAAGTGTTGCACTTAAGGCTTGGGATTTAGAGGGTCCCATGATCAAGTCTTGTTGTACTAAGGGATGTTAGGAACCTGGAGGCTTGGTGTGTTTGGCTGCTTGTGCTTGCAGGGAATGTAACCGAACCTTAAGTTTAGTCTAGCCCAAAGAGGGGGATTGGGAGAGAATTTGAGAATTCGTGGATGGATGGATCTATGGGAACCATTCAAGA